TTTTAAAATTGCAGGTATCCATTCTATTCTGATTTCTTAAACCATGTCAAATCCTAAACGTTCTAGGTCTTCATCGAGTCGTTCGAGTCAAAATCGACCTCCCATTCCTCCTCAACCACAAAATCCAAATCCAAATGAACCCGAATTAACCATTCTTAATTCTTGCTTCAAGCAACCCAGTCGTCGTCGAGATGAATTATATGATAGGTTTGTTAGTTCCTTCCAATTGTATAGAATCCGGGAAGAACGTATCCCCTCCATTCAAGCAATGGTGGATATGAACTTCCGATATCTTCCTATCATTCGTACTTGGAAGTTTGATAAATTGTGTCAAATTAAGCACATTGTTTACCATCAATTAGTCTGTATTTTCTACTCCAATGCGGTATGTGTCCAAAATACTCGTCGAACCGAGACCTTAGGAATTCGATCCTATCGTTTAGGTCAAACCATTTATATCGACTCGGACACAATCGCTAATGCCTTTGGTTTAGATAATGCTGGTCTAGATATTGAAAGAGATATTATGGCTACACCCTATAAGTCTAAGGATAGTGTAAGTACCTTACGTACTCATCACGAGTGATTCCTTCATTTGATAATCTCTTGGTGGTTTCAACCATCCGGAGGTAGGTACTCATCACTTAGGGTAATAGATTTATGGTGGATACGTTGTATCCAACATAATATGAAAATTAATTTGCCACAGATTATTTTTTGTGAGTTAGTAGATACCGTAAACGTTGTTCCATCCAAAAATGTAGAAACTCTAGTTTACGACTGTTTCCTTTCTAACCTTTTTATCAAACTTGGGCTTAAGGTTTCGGTTGATATTCCCATCCCTCTTCAGAACCAAATCAATCTCACTTCCTTAAAGAAATCAGGATGGAAAAAGGATAAGGAAACTGGCCAATGGGTTAGATCAACTGAACTAACACCGGGAGCTAGTTCGTCACGAGCTCCACCTCTACCAGCACCGGTAGCGGACGATGATCCAGAGCTTGAAGCTCTTATGCGCGACATTGATGAACATGTACCCGAGGACGAGCCGTCACCAGCACCGCAAGAGGATCAAGTGCCTCTATACTTTCGATCATTCTTGGATACATTTGATCTAAGGTTTGCATCCATTGAGTCCCATCTCACTGCTATGGAAGCTCAACAACGGGAGATGAACGATTGGCTAACCTTTCTCTTGATTTTGATCTTAGCAGCTTAAGCTATATTTATTTATTATCACTTGGTAAATTTTTCAAAACCTTGTTTATAACGTTATAAAGTCTTTTGATTTAACAAAAAGGGGAGAAAGATGTGTTATGGTAAGGGGGAGTAATTTTCAAAATTGATTTCAAAAATTATTTTCAAAGAAAATCTTAAAATTACTCAAGTGTTTTGTTATATCAAAAAGGGGGAGATTATTGAAATTTTTTTAATGTTTCGATATAACAAATTAAGTACAAATGAATTTTAAGATTTTACAAATGATTATTCGATTTAATTATTCGAATATCACAAATATTACTCCAAGTCTTTTAAAGACCAAATTTCAAATCCTTACTAAAGTGTAAAATTGTGTTTTTTACTTAAAATATTTTTGAAACAATTTTCACAAAGTATTTCGAACCAAAACCGAGCCAAAAATCAAATTTACAAAGTAATGTACCGATGCACTACATTGATGCATCGATGCACACCCATTTCGAATGCATTTTGTGTACCGATGCACAAGCCATGCATCGATGCACTCTTGAATACTTTGAACATCGAATGCATTTTGTGTACCGATGCACAGACCATGCATCGATGCACTCCATGCTCATTTGAAACATCAAATGTAATTAGTGCACCGATGCACCCGTTGTATACCGATGCACTAAGTCTTCCAACTGTTGAAATATTTGAATTTTACACATAGTGTACCGATGCACCTTGGCTATGCATCGATGCACCATACGCTCCTAACTGTTTTATTAATTGTTTTCACACCATAACGGCTCTATTGACTCCACTAATGATCCCCAACGTTCAGAAGTGATCCAAGGAGTATTTAAACAAGCTTAGGAGCCATTGATCAACAACAATTAAGGTGAGAAGCTAGAGAATCAAAGAGACAGCGTCAAACCTCAAGTTTAAGCATTTCAAACCTATTTTTAATTCAATATTCATTTTGCTTTCAAGAACACCATTTGTGCTCAATTGTATTTATTTTTAGTGTTATTTCTTTGTTCTAGAATTGTGAAAACATCTTACCTTGTGAGGTTTTCTTGTAAGTTTGCTAATTTGTGTATTTCTCTTTGGGAGAGAGTGTTCTCAAGAATTTGGGGTATAATTCTTGAGGGAGTTGTAAGTTTACTCTTTGTCATCAAAAGAAAGAACAAATTAGTGAATTTGTTGGAAAATCCTTAGTGTGGATAGCTAAGGTAGTGGACGTAGACTTTGGTTGAGAAAGTCGAACCACTCTAAAATCGTTGTGCAATTATTTTTAATTTTCTGCAAAAGCTTCCACCAAAATTTTTATTGCAAATTCACCCCCCTCTTGGCCGATTCGTCGATCAATTAACTCAACAAAAACTTAGGTTAGCTACTTTGGTGGTCCCGAGTCCATCGATCTTCGGATCGAACTGGATTAAGACGTTACAAGTTAAAACTTGGTAAGTAACTTTTTATCATTATATCAAACTAAATAGTTATTTATGATTAGGAAAAAATACATATTAAATATATAAAAATAAATATCTCAAAAATTATGTAATACTACATAATTTATCGATATATTATATAGATATAAATTATTGAAGTATAATTATAATTAGACAAAAAGGCATAAGAGATCCTTGTACTTTTAAAGAATTCAATGTGACTCTCGTATTATTATTTCTTTTAATGTGGCCCTCCAAACTCAGAAAATAAACTCAATGTGGCTATTTGACCAACACTTTCTTTCTTTAACCGTTACGGTGCTGACGAGACTGTTCACAGTGCAGATGTGACGATCCACGATTACGTTATCAACCATCGTGGGTTACCACGTCAGCATCGTGAACTACCACGTTAGCATTGTAACGGTCAACGATGAAAATGGTTGGTCAAAGGGCCACATTGAGAGAGAAAAATAATACGATGGCCGCATTAATTGTTTTAAAAGTAAAGGACCTCTAATGTCTTTTTACCTTATAATTATAATTCAGTTCAAAAGAATATAAAAAGAAAAAGTATAAAACAACGGGCATCTAAATATAACCGTTGGAATATCGGAGCTTAGATCTATAACGGCTACATTTTCCCCTTTTCTTAAAGGATTTTCCATTACTTTTAAGTGCCATCTCTCAGCTCGCAATCAAATTCAAACATCTGAAATCTCATAATTTAATTCCTTTCCATTTTCCATCTTCAGTTTCTTTCCAATCCAAACTCTCAAGTCCCATTAATCAAATTTCCTTTTTCTCTTTCTATCTGTCAGCTAATTCCAGTAATAGAGCAATCACACCTGCAACATCCAAGGTATGGGAAACAACCATTTCATCGGTTGCTATTTTTTTTCTAAATAATTTAGTTAATTAGAATCTTACCCTTTCTTGTTTTTTTTTATCTAGAGAAAATCCATTTCATCTGTTCATATGTATTTTAAGATAGTTTAGTTAAGATCCTAACCCTTTTTTTGTATGTTGATTTTGAGAAAACCCATTTCATTAGTTCATTTTCATTTTTAAAGAATTTAGTAAACGAAAATCTGACCCATTTTCTGTTGATTTGGTAACTTTTTTTGTGTGTGATGCTAACTTTCAATTGGTGGACACAGTTCTGTTTCTCTAGAGCTTTTAGTTAATTAGTTAGTTGATCGAGAAGCCTTTCATCTATGCAAGTTGACATGACTTTTTTTTTGAATCATTTTTATGATACTAACTGTTTCATGTAATATCTGATTGTTTTGCTGGGAATTCCAGAGAGCAAAGATGAATGATCTGATGACCAAATCGTTTATGAGCTACGTAGACCTCAAGAAAGAGGCAATGAAAGATCTCGAAGCTGGACCGGACTATGATCTCCAAATGTCTTCCAACGCAAACTCCATGGACCAAAACCTTGGCCTATTCCTTGAAGAAGCAGAGAAAGTGAAGCAAGAAATGGCAGTAATCCGTGAACTCTTAGGTAAACTCCAAGAGTCCAACGAAGAGATCAAACCACTTCACAAACAGGAGTCTTTAAAGGCCTTAAGGAACAAGATCAACAACGACATCGTCACTGTGCAAAAGAAAGCCAGGACTATCAAGGCGCAGCTCGAAGAAATGGATCGAGCCAATGCGGCTAACAAGCGCCTTTCTGGCTGCAAAGAAGGCACGTTAGCTTACAGGACTAGGATTGCAGTAACCAATGGGTTGCGCAACAAGTTGAAGGAGCTGATGATGGATTTCCAAGGTTTGAGGCAGAAGATGATGACCGAGTACAAGGAAACAGTGGGGAGAAGGTATTTCACCGTGACAGGTGAAAACCCGGATGAGGAAATCATCGAGAAGATAATTTCCTCCGACGGCAACGGTGGCGAGGGTTTCTTAACACGGGCAATACAAGAGCATGGTCGAGGAAAAGTGTTGGAGACGGTGGTCGAGATTCAAGACAGGCATGATGCGGCTAAAGAGATCGAGAGGAGTTTGCTGGAACTGCACCAGGTGTTTTTGGATATGGCAGTGATGGTGGAGGCACAAGGGGAGCAAATGGATGATATTGAGCATCATGTCATTAATGCTAACCATTATGTGAAAGATGGTTCTAAAGAGCTCAACACTGCAAAACAGTATCAAAGGAGCAGCAGGAAGTGTATGTGCGTTGGGATCATTCTTTTGTTGCTGATTGTTCTTGTGATTGTCATCCCAATTGCTACTAGCTTTAGTAGTTCTTGATTGGCATGCTTTTACGGAGGGTTTAATGTCCAGTTATTCCTTCTACTTTATTTTATTTAGAAAAAAAATGCATGTCCGGTAATAATATTTATCATAAATATATGGAAGATTATACTTTTATTTAAGTTGCGCTCTTACATATCTTATTAAGAAAAGAAATATAACCAACATCATGCCTTGATCTCATCTGATTCAACTTTTTTCTCAGCAATAACGATTGTAATTTTCTTGATTTGTTCATGATCTGCAAAACTTGGTTTTATATCCCCCACTGAGCTCTCCATATCTTCTTTTTGCATCTGTTCTGTTATCTCAACACCCTTGTTTGCATTCTTATATTTCACATAGATGATCATTTGAGTTATTCCAAGCAGAAACCCCAACACATTTGGCAACTGAAAACACAAAAAACACGGTTTCTTAATGTCAATGTTATGAAGTTCAAAATGGATTTCCATTTCAACATAAAAAAACTAAAAAAGTACGAATTTGACTTACTGCCACAAAGAAATCTTGTATGAGAAGTCCATAGAAGAACCACATTGTGGCACATAATGTGAGGAAAAAGGAGGGGGGAAAGGGCATGTATTCCACACTTTTAGTCCTTATGACATGTCTCTGCAGCAAATATGGTGATTCTCAGTCGAGTTTATTTTATTAAAATTTTTATAATTAAGTTCAGGTCGATTTTAGACCAACTTCATCTTGTCTGGAGACATTTATTAATATACCATGATATAATGTGTATATATATTTAATTAAAAACATATAAATCCGGTCAAGTTCAGATTTATGAGATTGATAATCAATGAAGGAAACTGCTGTTGTAAACAAACCATGATGCTTAAAGGAGAAGCGTAGACTGCAACACTGTAAACAGCACAAATCCATCCCATTGCAATCACTCGTTTAGACCTTTGTGTTAACAAATTGGTGACAACCATTATCAAACAATACCCTCCAAGGTTGAATAATATTATTCCTTTCACTGTAAATACCTGCAAATTCCAAATAAAAATCCTCCCAGTCAACACTTTCGAGTTTAATCGAGTTGAGTTGAGTTATTGAATGGTACCTTATCCCTCTTTGGTGCATATACGATGTATAACACCAGATAAATAACTTCGACGGCACATCCGAAGCTGCTGGTGCAGACGATTAGGTTCACGTTACTCTTAAGCCTGCCGTAGTACAATAACAACATTGCACTTGAAAGTGCAACCATGTATGGGATTGATTGGTATCCTTCAGCAGTTTTTTTCTTGTAAATTTTATAAAAGGTTTGCCTGATAAAGAGAGAGAAAGGAGACAGATTTATCGGCAATGTGCCATTGATTTCATTAGCAAATATGTATCAGGAAACGATCTTACACTGGTGCCAAGAACACAAGGAATGAAACAATGCTGCCTGAAAGAAACAAGAATGAACATTAGAGATTACGCCCTACCAACATACGCATATCCGACACTCATTTAGATTTTGGATAATATTGTTGATGAAAAAATTGTGATTATGATAACTGTTGCGGTTCATATCTTTTGGTTTAAATGAAGAGTCACAGTCAATGCTCCAAACCAGAAAGGATGAATCGTCGACAAATATCAACAAGCATAAAAGCTAATCGAACATATGATAGGATAAGAATAGTGAGAATACCCGAGACACCAAATACGAGAGCCAGCTGCTGATGAGGGCCCAACAATCCCATTTTGATTGATGTATGCCTGAAGCTCTTCACACTGTTTCTCAGTAACGAAGAACTTAAGTCCCAATGCTAAAATCCCATTATTTATACACTCAAAATATCAATTAGGGGACCCTGATCAGTGTTTCAAGTTCAAAGCATACAGTTTCGTGGTTCTGGAGATGCCATGGCCCATGGAGATAATTTCATGGTTCAAAGCATACAGTATTGGTGGACTGTCGATGAACTTGATTCTCAAATCTTAAGTTGAACATTTACAAATCCAGGATAGAAGTTAGGTGTTCATCAAAAGGAATTGGGTATATTTTCAGTGAGTTTGATTTGGAAACGCTTTGCATTTTCAGCCACTCGATTCAAAATCGTTAAATCATTGTATAGTTCTGTTTCACATTCTTCACCGGTGTAGTACAATTAGATTTGAATTCAGATATTCAGTTGATCATATTCATGTGCAACAAAAAGGTAGTTATAGAGTAATAGACCTAACATTTTTCTCATTCTGATATTAATCCAAAGAAAAACAAATGAAAATGAACTCAAATTTGAATCCAAATCGATCTCGGGTTTGAAAAAATGAGATAAATTCAATATTAATTTAAATGTGGAAATTTAGCAAAAAGTTACATAATTGATATCAATTTAATAAACCTGATATATTTTTATCATTTTACTTATTTTAATAAAAATAAAACTTTTAGAGTAGAAGAGTGAATTTTTGATAAATTTAGAGATTAAAAATGTCGTCATATCTTGATATAATAATTAATCAAATAAAAATTATAAAATACATATTTTTATAGGAAATCCATCTATCAATAAAATTATTTGTAATATAAAATTATTATGAGTCTACATAAACATTTTTCTAAAAAATACATATAAAATATACTTTCAAATGTAAAAAGCTTTGTGATAGATGATTGAGATTTTAAAGTATAAAAATCGATTATAAATCGAATTAATTGTATCATATGTTCCTAAACTATAACTCTAATTTTAAATTGTTTTTTAAACTTTTAATATTCCAATTTAATTTTTAAATTATGACTTTCATTCTAAATTAGTCCTTAAACTTTTGAACATTCTAATTTTATTTTTAAACTATTACTCTTTTTCTAAATTGGTCTTCAAACTTTTGAATATTTTAATTTCATCCCCAAATTTAACCTATTTTTTCCAAACATATAATAATATAACTTGGCCTAATGGTTTTATTTACAAGAGATGTGATTAGTATGTACATATATTTTAGGATGAAATTGGAATGTTCAAAAAGTTTGGAGACCAATTTAGAATGAAGGTCATAGTTTGAGAATAAAATTAAAATATTCAAAAGTTTGAGGTTAATTTAGAATGATAGTCATAGTTTAAGAATGAAATTGAACTATTTAAAATGATGGTCATACTTTGAGGGGATGTGATATAATTAACTCTTATGAATTGATTAATGATGCAATATAATATATCTCGAGAATAATTTAGTAAAATACACATTTTTTTATCTTATATTCTTTCAACTAAACATTGATCTTACATACTTCCAAATAAATCAAACAAAGTAATACAACATTCTCAATAATATATTAATAATATATTATAATTTAATATTATGATATTCTTATACTTAAATGATAATCTTATATTCTATGAACTAAATTACTCCTAATTATTGTTATACCTTTTCAAAATCTACGAGCATCTGAACCACTCATTCAAATCCTCATTTGATAATATATTACAATATTTCTATATATTTTAAATTTATTGTTGCCTGAATGATGCTCATCTGTTATTGTAACTGAAGTTTGACGACAGAGACGAAAACCTAATATATATATATATATATACAACCTACATGTGATATAATTGAATTTTAGGTGTTGTATCATTTATATAATTGAACTTTTAATTTTGTCAATTATAGTAGTTAACTTTGATTTTTGTTTCAATTATATTACTGGACCGTTAAATCGTAAATGATCATTTTGGTGAGGTGTATGTATCGATAGCCGCCAGCCATGTCACAGTGTCATTAACGATTTAACAGTTGAGTGGTATAATTAAAATGAAAATTAAAATTCATTGTTATAATTGACACAATTAAAAGTATGATGACATAAATGATATAACGTCTAAAGTTTGATAATATCTCATATAGTTTAGCGTGTGTGTATATATATATATATATATAAGAGTTTTCGTGTTTCCACTCACAAAGAGATATACAAAGATTTCTTGAAGTCTAGTAAGAATGCTTTCACATCAGTGTTCGTGCCGCATATTTGGTCCGGTTTTTATTACGAGCCAAGTGCCTTCCACATGGGGACACTGTGTTTTCCATTATGGCGTCGCACCCACAATATATAACCCAATTAAGGATGTAAAATCAAGTAATTGTTTAGATTTTAATGGAATTCTGTCAAGTCAGGTAAAATTGAATACATGTTGTGTTGGATTAATTTGATGGTTCGATTCGAATCAGATCGGTCCATGTCAAATCAGTTCGAGTCATTTTCAAGTTTATTTAATATAAGATTCAGTTCGAGTTTAGATCGAATTAATTTTAATTTAGATCAATATCAGTTTATGTGAAAACGGTTTAGGTCCTATAAATGGCCATTCTTTCACATAATTCTTCTGATATAAAGCTACCATTAAAAAAAATGGAAGGCCTTGAGATCATCTAGCCATTTTCATCTTGTCTCTTGCGTCGTCTTTGGCCTTTGCCTCTGATCTTAGTCCTCTTCAGGACTTCTGTGTAGTGGACCCCAACCGTTCCAGTATGTTCTCTCTGTCGTTTCTAGCATATATTCGTATTCGATACTCACACCCGAATTAACATGAGATGGTATGGTATTCCCTAACATATTTCGTGTTTTCATGCAGTTTCTGTCAACGGAAAAGTCTGCAAAGGAGCTAAGCTCGCCAAAGCAGATGACTTCTACTTTTCAGGGCTCCTTATCCGCAAAAACGCGTCGAATTCAGTTGGATCAATCGTGACACCAGTTAACGTTGCACCTAATTGTGGCCTCAACCCACCTCACACTCACCCTCGTGTGTCAGAGATTATAGTGGTTATGGAAGGCTCACTCCATGTCGGATTCATTACGTCGAACCCGTATAATCGTCTGATAACCAAAGTCTTATACCCTGGAGATGTGTTCGTATTCCGTCTGTTGAAAAGTCAAGTGGCCAACTTTGAACAATAATAGTGACCAACTTGCCAACTTTCTGTGGTCTAAATTGGCAGCACATCTTGGTTGAAAATTGACAAGAGAAAATTACTCAATTTAGTCCCTTTATTTTAGGGTATTTATAAGATTAGTCCTTAAACTTCAACTATAAATATCCTAATCTATTTAACTTCAAAACCATCCCAAATCAATCTAGCTTTCTCTCAATACTAGAGAATTTAGAAAGTTTTCTTGAGAATTGTTTTCTCATTTTTATCAAGAGAGAATTATTATTGTTTTCTGCTTGTTAGATCGAGAGAAGTTGTAATTCATATTTTCTCATAGTGAAATTCTTCTATCTTTGTCTGTGATTTTTACTCTATATTATTTAGGAGTTTTCCACGTAAAATACCTTCATCTTTATTTTCTCAAATTATCAGTTACGATTTTATTCTATCGGATAACCATATTCCGCAACACCGTAAGGGTCTTATTCATTACCAGTACAACATTGGAAACACCCATGCAGTGAGTGGCCTTTGCTGGTCTGAACAGCCAAAACCCAGGGGTTATCACCGTTTCTAATGCAGTCTTTTGCTCAAACCCTTCCATCAATGCTCATATTCTGGCCGAGGCTTTTCAGCTCGACAGGAAAACGGTGAAGAATTTTCAGTTCAATTTCTGATGTGAAGTAAAATGTGTTGAGCAAGTCGTCGTTCGTTATTTATAGTTAACATTAAATTTTTTATTTCTTCCTGAAACGTGAATAGAAAGAGGCTTTTTATGGGCCTCTGCTTATTGAAACATGTTTGTTTGGATTTTATTGGATTGTGCTTCCAGTTTGAACCTCCATTTATAACATGTTTATTAGAATTTGAGTAAAAAATGTTTTATTTGGTATAATTTATCTATTCGATTTATTGGACAACTAATCTAAATCATATATAATAGAGTTTTATTATATAAGAGCAACATTTTTAATTTAATTGTTTATTCACGATATTAAAGTTCAAACTCAAGCTATGCATCGAACAATGCTATATATTGATCCTGATTTTCTTCAAGTCATTACAATAAAATCCTTTTAACTCCACAACTATATATGTTGCTGACTGCAATATAAATCTCCGGTTAAGATTTAAAACCTTCATATGGAAACAAGTAACAAATGGGAGGATGGTGATCTTTCAATACCGATTAACTAACTGCATAAAAAAACAATATGGAAATTGGTCCTTTTAATTCATGAAGGTGGAGTTCTGCAATTCGAAAATGGTGTAAGTGTCAGCTCTACATATGTTTTATGGACTCTTCACTTTACAATCCTATTCAGATTCAATACTTTTTGACTAACTTCCAATCAGTATGCTCATGTCCCCAGATCACACGCTGGCTCATGTCTTAATACAAGATTTGGTAAGTAGGTGAACCTATTCTGGTAAGTTCTAACCTAAACGGCTAAACCTCTTGGCCAATTCACGGTTGTTAAAATGGTTTTCAAGTTTGGTAACCAATTTTGAAAAAATGGTTTTTAAAGTTTGGTAAATGTTTATTTGAAAATGATTTTCAAAGTTTGGTAAATGTTTCTTTGAAAAATAGTTTTTCAAAGTTTGGTAGATGTTTGTTGAAAAATAATAATGGGATAATCGCAATTAATCCCTAGGTTTTAGGGTATTGACAAGATTAAGTCCTTAAGTTTTAACTATAAATACCCTAGCTCATTTAGTTTCAAAACCATCCCAAAAATCATTTCTTTCTCCCAATACTAGAGAGCTTTCTTGTGAGTAGTGAGTGTTTTGTAAACACCTGTAAATTTTCTCTCTTAGTAAAAGATCTGCAGCAGTCCGAAGACGTAAGCAAATTGGCTGAACTCCGTTATCAATTTCGGGT